AAAGATAACTGCAGTTAAACTACTCAGGGCTACCAGGAGTAGTTTTTAAAGTTATTTATTATACTAGAATTCTCATATTGATTGTTAAAAATATGTGTATTTTATGTTTATCTAGGGAAATTTATCTGATTTACCTACAAATAGTAAGTTCCCTTTCCCCCTCCCTCCAGGGTAAATAAACATTTAAGAAAAAAATCTATGCTCATTCTAACACATAACTATATTATAAATGCAGCTACATGTAGTTTCTGCTTCTAGCCACAAAGTCTGATTTTGAAGATAATCACTGATGAAGCATTCGAGGTAGCAATAAGACAAAATGATGTAACTTGTGTGAGTCAGAAAGCATGACAAATGAATATTTTTGAATACTGGAAGCTCAGGCTTATCTCATAGAGAAAACCCCCACAATCCTTTAACAAATACCTTTCTCATGAGGTCAAATAAAGCAGGCAATATGGTTGTTGAGTGAGAGGCTAGATCTATATTAAGAATTAACAATTTTATGCCACATTTTTATTGCACATGATGAACACGATAGGGTATTATTACAACTGTGGTTCATTTGAATTGGTGTAAACAATACATGGGTTCTATTGTTCTACAGCTTCCATTCAGATGACTAAAGTCATGGGACTTTCAGCATAGCTAGCTGATGACAGTGCATAGTATTTTGTCCTAAAATCCAGTTCAAGCATAAACTTATCTATTAGATCATAAGGTTTTTAACAGCAAAGATCAAGAATATAGTTCTTGGGTTATGTTTGTTTGCTTTCTAATTAAGATTAAATGTGAAATACTTTAGAGGGGGATTTATATGATTTACAAAACTGAAAAAAATTGTAAGATCTTGTTCAAATTTTGGATTGTAGTCCACTCATTATACATTGACTGTGTTTCTACTAAAGGCAGGCATAGTACTTCTTGTTGTTGTTATGTGCTGTCAAGTCACTTGCTACTCATAGCGACCCTATGTACAACAGCCCTAAACTCTGCTCTGTCCTGTGTCAATCGCACTGTCTCTGACACTCCCATCCCGATTACCCCAGTCACTGAATCAATCCACCTCATAGAGGGCCTTCCCCTCCTGCACTGTCCCTCCACCCTCCCAAGCATGATGTCCTTCTCCAAGGACTGGTCTCTCCTTACAACATGTCCAAAGAATGTTAGATGGAGCCTCAGAATCCTTGCCTCCAAGGAGCCACCAGGTTTGACCCTTTCCAGGATGAATTTGTTTGTTTTCCTAGCAGTCTATGGTACTCTCAAAACTCTTTTCCAGCACCACAGCTCAAAGGCATCAATTCTTCTTCTATCCTCCTTGGACATTGTCCAACTCTCTGATGCATAACAAGTGATTGCGAAGACCACGGCCTGTATCAGACACACCTTAGTCTCCAGAGAGACACCATTGCTCTTCAGTATTTTGGAGGGGTCCAAACAGCAGACTTTCCCATGGTAATATTCCTTTTAATTTCTTGGCTACTGGTGCCAAGAGTGTTGACTGTGGAGCCAGGCAAACTAAAGCTGTGAACAATCTCAATCTCTTCACCATCCATCCTGATGCTGTCAATTGGCCCAGTGGTGAGAATCTTTGTCTTCTTGACATTGAGTCTCAATCCATATTGGAGGCTGCAGTCCTTGACCCTCTGTAGCAAGCGCTTCAGGTCCTCCTCAGTTTCAGCAAGCAGGGCTGTGTCATCTGCCTAAGGCATAGTACTAGGTGCTAAGAATATCAAGTTGGTAAAGTCACAGTCGCTGCAGCGATTTTTTATTATAGGAAGTCTGGGTTATGAAGTTCTGACTTATGTCCAACTCACACTTTTAAACCAAAGTGGTAAAGTTTATTATACTAAACTTTTGAGATGAAAATAACGGTTTGTAATCACATGTAGGTGTTACTTTGCAAGATGCATCAAACATTATTCTTTTAAAGATATTTTAGTGTACTTAGAAATGTTTCTTTAATTTTGTTTGGTTTTTTACATTTTATTATTTTTTTTTGTGCATGTACTGTCAAATCGGATCTGACTGGTACAGGAGATTTCTCCTCCTTCTCCAGCAGAGCATCTGGTGGATTCAAACCACATATCTCTGGGATTGCAGTGCAGCTTCTTGCCACTAGGCCACCAGAGCTCCCTTTATTTAATGTTTTTATGCATAGAAATGTATACTATTTACTAAGACAAACATCTGACTGACATTAAGACATGACTCATCCCTAACTATTCTAACTTATGTACAGACTTAAATTTATATTTTGAAGATCATATTTATCAATGAAACCTAATCTGGAGATTGCCTCTCCACTTCCTTCTAGAGAAACTCTAAGAAGTATCAAGCATGTAGAATGTTGCAGTTCCGAAGAACACAGCTCAACAATTTCCAAACTGTGACTCAGGCTAGATTGTGTAACTCACGTTTGTTTGCAAAATTGAAAATACCACAGCGCCTACCTAAGTTTCAATTCTTGTTAGAGTTTAAGGTTATATGAGATACACAAGTACCTTAGGGGGAATTAGACAATGAACATGACCATTCCTTTACTTAAATTCTCTTGCCAACAATGCAATCAGGGTGAAAAAATGATGGTGATTCAAATCCACCTGCTGCTCTGCAGGATAAAGATGGGCAATTTTTCATGTGATTTACAGCCTCCAAAAACCCAGTGGAGGGTCAGCAAGGAATTAGTTCTGACTCAACAGGACATGGCCATTCCTTCACTCAAGTTCTCTTGGTGGCAGTGAAGTTAAGGATTGTGTGAAAAGAAAAAAACAACAATGAAAAGGCCCCCAAAACTCCAATGCTTTGACTAAGTAAAACTAGAAACCTTATCCACTACTTTTCTTTTCAATTAAATTAAATCAAAAGAGAACTAAAGAATAGTTTTTCCAGCATGATGCAAACTTAACAAAAGATAAGCCTTTACCAACAAGTTAATTCTCACATATAAGATGTAGTAGAACTGTCCTGTAGGGTTTTCAGGGCTATAAATCTTTACAAAAGCAGACTACCTCATCTTTGTCCCTTGGAGAAGCTAGTGGGTTCAAATCACCCACTTTGTGTTTAGAAGCTGAGCGCTTAACCATTCACTCTCAGAGCCCATGTTACTAAGTGGCACAAATGGTTAATGCACTCGCTCAGCTGCTCACAGATTAGATTCTTAAGTTTCCTCAGCAATGATTTGAAAGAAAGGACTCGTGAGCTCCTTCCAAAAAAGTAGACCACATTGAAACTCATATGGTCTCATATAACTGCAACTGTACCTGACCCTGCTATCTTTGCAAAAAGTTACTTCTGTGGACATTGACTATAAAGAGACTTTACTGATGCCAGCACTGTTTGGAGTGCAAGCATGTGGGAGGCATTTTCATCACTTCTGGTAATTTAAGTAGGTTTAAGAAATGTTTTTGTATTTATTGCATAAATTTGCATAACAAAGAAAGGGACTTTGGGCCCAATCAGTGAAAGTCTATACATTGCAGTTCATATTTCAAAAATGTGCGATTATGGCTTGAAGTTATAAAGGTCTGCTTTCCACCCACAGGTTGCCATTATCTCAAAGGTGAAATTTTAGCATATGACTAAAACATCCTATAGCTCTAGCTTCATGATTCAGCATCTAACGTCAATAATTCACAATGAGATCATAGGCTCTCTGCAGAAGGTACTGACATACTCATTTGCTTTATGAAAGGAAGCTTAGAGCATATTGAGAACAATTTGAGTTTAGGCTGCAGCATGTGTGGGTGTCAGACGTTTGTCTCCCAGCTTTTACTGGCTCAGGAGAATCCTCTTTTGGGGAAAAGCTCTCTGGGAAAGGTGAATTGGGGTTGTCCAGCTGGGATTCACACATGTGGCCGCCAGCTCCTCCGGTTCATCATCAGCTCACGGTTTTTCACTTACACTGGGCAGGTGGGACTCCCTTCTGTTTTCTGTGGAAAAGATTCCAAATTGGTTCCCTGCCACCATCAAACACAAACGTGTTGATTTTTCTCTTTGGAGCTTCCAACCCTTGGAACCTTCCAAAAATAAATCAAACCAGCCATCAGGGCACCGAAATAATACTACTACTAATAAGTGGCTTTGCTCAGACTTACATAAACAACACTTTTGAGGTAAACTTTGCCCCAGAGGTCTGGGTATACTCGTTTTATGTAACCTGCTTGCTAGTAATTACTAGACGTGGGTGCATTAACCCTGGAAATAGATTTTAATAGCAACCCCTAAAAACAAAAGACATGAAACGATAATAGAAAAAAAAGCACACCAACTAGAAAAACACTTGGCAGCTTTCTCTAAACCAAGTTGAAGGCACGCACACACACACCCCACTCCACCGCTTGCGCGCGCGCACACACACACACACACACACACACACACACACACACACACACACTCCTCCACCGCTTAACCACAAAGTCCTTTTCCACAGATGCGCCCAGCCAATGACATCTGAGAGCCAGCTCAAGACCCAGCCCTCCGCCGGGTGCCACCCCGCCTTCCCCAACCCCTCCGCCTCTCTGGTGCCTCCTTCCACGTAGTTCCTCCCCCTTCCGCTCCTCTCAGCCTGGATCCAGGAGTTAGAGTCAAATTGCCAGAGCTAGCTAATTTGCATAACCCAATGGCTGCACCGTATGCAAATGAAGCTGGAGGCGGTTGGCTAGAGGTTGACATGATAACTTGGGCGAGCCAGCCCTTTGTCCTTCAGTGGCTGGTGGGCAGCTGCGGTAGTCTGTACTCGTTCTGCCGCTGGGGCTTGAGGATCAGAGAGCAGGCGAGCGAACTGGGCGCCAGGGGCGGCCGGCGCTGCGGTGGCGGGCGCTGGAGGAGGAGCCCAAGCGGGCTAGGGGCGGCCGCAGCCGGGCAGTGCCAGACACGCAGTGAGATCTGAAGCTCTACACACCGTGACTGTGAAGAGAGTGCAGAGAACCGCCACCGTGCGCGCACGGTGGCAAGAGCAGCCGGCACGCCGCTCTCTGCGGGAGACCAGTAGTTGCAATATGACTTTGGAGGAATTCTCGGCTGGAGAGCAGAAGACTGAAAGGTAAATCAGGCTGTGGACTGTTCGGGCGGGTGGGAATCTCCAGAGGCACTTCCTGAAGTCCTTTCACACACTCTGTGCACCCCAGGTGCAGAGGGCTGGGGAAGGTGTGCGGGGGCGCTCGTGGAAAAGTTTGCAGAGGGCATCTCCCATCTGACCTAGCTCAGACCCACTTTGAAAGTCGGTCAAGTTTCTCCCTTGTTCTTTGCAAGCCGCAGCGCGACTGCCCTGCCCGCGCGGCTCCTGTGGCTGCGCCCAGCTATAGGGACTGGCTGTGCTGTCCAGAGAGGGTGGCAGATGACACTCTCTGGCTTGTTGTGTACGCCGGCCTCTGGGAGTGTGAGATGAGGTGGGTGGCGGGATGGCGGGGAGTCCCAGCTTCCAAAACACCCCAGTGCACCGCTGCACTTGCACTCTGCGAGGGACCAAGGGGTGGTGACGGGCCCCCTGAAGGACCTGGATTGGTAAGACCTCTTCTAACACCGTTGTCCGCCTTTAGGATGGATAAAGTGGGGGATGCTCTCGAGGAGGTGCTCAGCAAAGCCCTGAGTCAACGCACCATCACTGTGGGGGTGTACGAGGCGGCCAAGCTGCTCAACGTGTAAGTGGGACTCTCACGCTTCCCCTGGGGCTGGTACCGCTTCCTGCCCCAGCCCGGCGAGGTCGCTTTGCAGCGTGCCCCGTGCCCCTCGCCCCTCAACCTGCAGCGCCACCTCCTGCTGCCTTTCGCCTGCTTGTCCTGGCTGCATGCTCGGGGTGCGGGTGGGGGGAGGGGAATGGAAGGAACGAGCGACCCACGTGGGCCAGTCGTGCCTCGGGGCTCACTAGCCCCCACTGCTACCCTCAGCGACCCGGATAACGTGGTGCTGTGCCTGCTGGCGGCCGACGAGGACGACGACAGGGATGTGGCTCTGCAGATCCACTTCACCCTGATCCAGGCTTTCTGCTGCGAGAACGACATCAACATCCTGCGCGTCAGCAACCCAGGCCGGCTGGCCAAACTCTTGCTTCTGGAGCCAGACTCTAGCCCGGCTGCGAGCGAGGGCGCCGAGCAGCCCTCCGACCTGCACTGCGTGCTGGTGACGGTAAGCATGAAAAGGACTCCTGGCCTATCCAGTCCTGGAAGAAAGTGAAGGGAGGGCAAAGTAAGTCTCCTGACTGCAGCTCTGGAATGGGTGGGGGTAAGACAGTGGCTGCCTTTGCCCCACTAGAGATTGTGGTCGGACTTTCAGCCGAGATGTGCTAGTTTCATCATCAGGATTTTCCTTGGTACAGAACATGTCTAAGCACGTTAGAGGCTGCCAGCAGCGGAAGAGATCCCTGTGAGTCAGCACTGTCAGGCCAGCTACTCCCTACCTACATCTGCACTACCTCCCGTGACTAATTCCTTTAACAGGGCAGATTAGATAAAGCCAAATAAATTCCTGGCTCGCCCTCATTAAGGAGTCAGCTTCATTCTCTGCCAGTCACAGCTAAAAATAGAAGTGGTGTAGGACACAGACCTTATTAATTCCCTAGAAGTACATTAAGAGGTTGGAGTGAATTTTTTTTTCCATCTTACTTACCCCCCCCTCCCGTGAACCTTTTTTTTTTCTAATAAAAATAGGAGGACATAAACTTTGGTTAGTAAGGGACTTGTTTTCAGAAGTAAATATGATAGCTTTATCTTTTAAATTTTATTGCATTCTGACTAGTTCTAGTTAAGTGGCAGGCTATTTTGCAACTCCTGAGAAATACTGCTCTCATTGTTTGGAAGATAACAGGTGGCCATTCGATTTAACTTCTGTTCAAGCTCATTCCATTGAACCCACAGCATGGAGCTATTTCTCCAAATTGTTTTGTTCAATTTTGCAAGGGTACAGTTTTGCAGAACAAACCTGATATTTTCATGCAAAACTGAATAACTACAATCATGTAAACTTGCATATGCTTAGTTTTGCAGGAAATCCACGCAGGTAGAAATTTTGGTTTTTGAAATGGTCTCTGTTTTGCACAATAAAGATACAGGATGTTTTCATATCTTCCTCGAAGTAGTGTAATTATTAACCAATGCCAATCAAATAATAGTAATAAGTCTGTTTTCCTAAATTTGTTTCAGAATCCACATTCCTCACAATGGAAGGATCCTGCCCTAAGTCAACTTATTTGTTTTTGCCGGGAAAGTCGCTACATGGATCAGTGGGTTCCAGTGATTAACCTCCCTGAACGGTGATGGCATCTGAATGAAAATAACTGAACCAAATTGCACTGAAGTTTTGAAATACCTTTGTAGTTACTCAAGCAGTTACTCCCTACACTGATGCAAGGATTACAGAAACTGATGTCAACGGGCTGACTGAGTTCAACTACATGTTCTAGGGGACCGGAGATAGGTGACTTTGCAGATGGAAAGAGGTAAAAATGAAGAAGGAAGCTGTGTTGAAACAGAAATACAAGACAAAAGGAACAAAACTTACAAAGAACCATGCAGGAAGAAAAAACAAACCATGTATTCATTTAGAATGGTTGAGTTACATTACAATAAACCAAATATGCTTTGTTAAAGTTTAAATAATGCAGCAATTAGTTTTGAATATTTTTGGTTTATATGCCCTCAAGGAAAAGAAAAGCAGAAAGGGTTATTCTAATCATATTTTAAAGCCGTATTTTATTGTCTTTTCATGAGATGTTAAATTCTCAAAGTTTTATTATAAATTGTACTAAGTTATTTTATGACATGAAAGGTTATTTATGCTATGAATTTTTTTGAAACACAATACCGACAATAAACTGGTCTGAATTAATTGCAAAATTTCTCACTGTGTGCTTTTTCTTTTAACTTAAACATTTAAAAATATATTCGGAAACAAACTCATAAAATCATGTCTCATAAATGTGTTGGTTTCACTTTTAAACATTTAGGCTAGGTTTGAGAGTGTAAACTATCCTTTACTCAGTAGATAACATTATAGATTACCTGTTTCAACCTCAGTCTGAAGTCGGGGAAAAAAGAAGAGTTGGAGGTAGTAAAAAGGAATAGAGATTGAACTTGTAAAGTCAGGATAAATAATTGCAATCTAATGTGCTGTATAACAAAGTCAAACACAAAATATTAGGGAAACACAAGAGTGATCAAATCAACTTACAAAAGAATAATAATTTATTTACTGGAGAGTCATCAGTTTATTTGAATCTTAAAAAATGAAGTTTCTTTTCCCCAGCTAGAGTGGAGAAAAGGATAATGTGACAAAGGCACCAGTTTGTGCAAAGGTATGGAGGTCTGAAAGCCCAAAACCTGTTTGGAGAACAAAGACTTAATTCTGTGTGTGGCTCTGGTGTGAAAGATAAGAGAGATAAAGCTGAAAAGGTACATGGGGATTAGGCCCAGACTTGAAGGTCATTCTGTGTCACTCTTAGGCATCTGGCATCTGGACTTCCCTCTGTAAACTTTGGGGAGTCAACAGAGGCTTTAACCACGCAGGGAGTGACGCGACCAGTGTTCTAGGAAGATAACACTGCGAGCTGTTTAAGACAGGTCATTGGCACGAGCTGCTGTAGGTAAGGCCAACTAGGAAGTGACTAACAGTCAAAAGCTATATATTTTGCAGAACTAAATTTAGGAAACGGACAAGAAGAGTTCTGGCAAAGATTTTTGGAGTCCTTAGTCTCTTCTAAGAGCTCCGTGTCTTCCAGCTGGACATTTCTGTTGTGGTTCTAAGAGGTCTGGTTAAAATAATGGGTGAGATGGCAAAGAAGAAATGAAAAGCTTTAGGGGAAAAAAAAATCTAGTTGGAACACTCATTTGATAATTAACTGCAGCAATATTATGTGGAGCTTAGACAAAGAATGCAAAACTGCTTACTGAGGTTTTCTGCCCCAGGATTTTTCTTTGTCTACTTCTCAGACCAATTCTCCATCCTTGCAACCACCACCAATTGCTCTCCTGTTTTCTGTCCTCCCATTCTTGTCACTATTCCATATAATCAGAAAAAAGTAGAAATCAGAGCAGGGAAAAGCAGTCCAATAGTCACAATGATTTCCAAATTCCTGCATATCTTAGTAACAGACTCAGGAGCCCTTCAGCTAGTAAACAAAGTTTCTTTCTCACATAGGCTAGACTTGTGGAGTTTTAGATCTTGTGCAGGCTTGTATCTTTTTTGACAGCCAGAGCTCAATCTAAAACATCTAATATTTCTTCTATAACCAAAAGATTAAAAGCAGTATTGAATAGTAGAACATTTCCCCTTACTTAAAAACTCTTGCCAGTCCTTTCCCACTACCACACAGTAAAAATTGTTCTGCAAAGAGAAATGAAATTAGATAGGCAAAGTGGAGAAAAAGTGCTTTGCATGATGGAAACAGAGCAGAACAGAGTAGCCAGTAGCCCAAATGCTTTATGGCCATTTTCCTCATCTGCAAAATGGAGATAAAATGACCCATTTGTAGAGTCATCTGCCCTATATTATAGACTCTCCCTGCAGGAAGAAACTATTGTCTGGTTCATATTTGTAGGCCCCATCCTTGGCATATTTTCCAGCAAGCAGTAGGTGCTGAAATAATACTTGTTGAATAAATGAATTACTCAAAATAATGAATGCAAACTACCAGGCACAGGATGGTACTCAATACATGGTATCCATTTCTAAAACCTACCTGAGAGCAATAGGAAATCTTTAAGGCATCAGAGAGATCTGTTACTTGTAACACAATATATATATATATATATAAATTTTTAAAAAATACTTCAGAATCCATAATACTTAGAGGTATAACGTACAGTGAACCCTTACGAGAACCAGATCCTAACAATTCTACCACCTTGTTTTTCTGAATATTGAATGTTCTCTGCTTTTGGAGGAGAACCACTTTTCTATCGCTTCTTAAAGTGAAAAATACTTGTTTTTTCTTCTCTGACAGGTTTCCACCTTATATGAGCCTTACTGTAGTATAGCATTGCTTTATTCAGACTGTTTTGTTTCAGGCAAATCTCAACAGTGCAATGCTATTGTTTGGGGATTTGTTTTCTATTCTAACGGCTATAATTCTTTCCTGCTTGAACATAAACAAAGTTAACATGGCAATGAAAAATTCAGTTATGAAACAATTAATTGTAAACAAGTACACGACTACCTAAAAGATTCTACTTATAGTTGGTGATAATATTCTTCAGTTATTTTTAAAACCACACACTTTCTACTGCAAGGAGAATTTTTAAAAAAATCCCCTCATCTATGTAAGGTGTGCTGTATGTTGGAAAAGTGGAAAATACCCAATTATTTCCTCTTCGGCGACTTGACCTAAGTGTCATAAATCACACTGCCTCTTCCTTTCTACAGATAACCAAGGTCCTCAGTAAACTTTTAAGAAAGAACCCACAAAGGTAACTAATACTCTGTGGTATATAATTTTCTAAATAAGAAAACAAGGGTAATTTCTAGGAAAGGACAGGCTGCATACCGTCAATTGGGAACATTTCTAAAGCATGTGTTGAGAGGCCTTCCTGCAATCTTTGTGAAACCATTTCCTCAAATTTTACCTCTGAGTTAAGTTTTATTCTTTTATATGTGGTAAGAGGCTGCAAGCAAGCCTATTTCTTTCAAATGAACACAATTCTCGAAGGGTAAGCTGTTGTTGTGTACTGGAGATTCAGAGCAGGCCCATAGCTGACCCTCCAGCAGGTTTTCAGAGGCACTTAATAGCACAGGAGGAGATTGCCTATCCTTCTCCAGAGCAGCAGCTGGTGGCCTCAAATCACATGCTTTCAGTGCCACCAGACTTAATGTCCCTCAAACTGAGAACGGAATCATTCCCCTCTCTTAAATAATCTTTGGTTTCTTTAAGAAACATAAAAATCTTTAGCCAACAGGATGTATTCATTAAAACCATCAAGAAATGTTCAGTGAATGCCTTTGTGGGTAAATAGGAACCCTGGTTTCAGCTGCTAACTGAAAAAAAAAAAAAAACCCACAACCAAAAACGAGCGGTAACTCCAGGACTCTCTCAGGAAAAATAAGGCAGTCTGATTTCACATAGATTGTTGTTGTTACTGTTGTTGTTAGATACTGTCAAGTCAACTACAACTCATAGTCTATGACCCTATAAACAGTAGATCTGAACCTTACCCTATTCTGTGCCACAAAGATTATACAGTCTCGGAAACCCTGAAGTGCAGCAGTTCTATTCAGTTCTTTAAACTCATGCTGTGTCAGAACTGACTTGAGGCAATAGAAGCATGTGTGACAAGGGCTGCTGGCTAGATTTGTGTAGATGCTAAAATATACTTTGCCAGAAGGAGTTCACAGTCTAGGAAAGCAGTGAGATGTATATGCTGAAGAGTTTAAAGCAGAGAGTGCTAATCAACATAAAAGATTCAGAGAACTGCTCTGAGATACAGGTTGAATAAAGAAAAAGGTTAGCCTTTCATTTTGTAAATAGTAAGATTTAAGTTAAAGGTTATAAGGGGGGGGGGGGAGCCTGGAGGGCAAAAGGTTCTATCTTTGTGGAATCCATTTGATAATACCCAACAATGACAACTCTGAATACCTATCATGCCCCAGCACTATCCTAAATAGGTCTTTGAATCACAAAATATATGCATAGTTTAATGAAGGTTCTTGATATAGGCAAAACAGGTAAGAGATAGATATGATAAGACCTCACAGTTTCAATAAGAAAATTTATTCCAGAAAGGAAAACTTTGGTTCAGTTTTTGTTAGATGTCATGGAGTCAAGTAAGACTCATAGTAACATTAACAGCAGACCTGAATCCTGTCCTATTCGTCTCTGTTACACTTAAGGCCATTGCTGCAGTCACCATGTCAATCAATCTCATTGGTGGGGGTCTTCCTTTCTTTAGAGGAAACCTCTGTCTTTCCAAGAATGATATCCCTCTCCATGGAATAGCCTCTCCTAGTAACATATCCAAAGGATGAGAGACAAAGCTTCATCATCCTTGCCTCCAAGAAGCACTCTGGTCAAGATACATCTGTTTTTTCTTTTGGCCTTCTTGGGAATATTGAGTACTCTTCTCCGAATCACAGCTCAAGGCATCAAGTCTTTTGTCATCCTTATTTATTATCCAGTTCACAAATGCATAGCAAATAATTGAAGACTATGGCCTGAGTCAGGCACACGTCAGTCTTCAAACTGGCATCATTGGTCTTCAGTATTTTGGAGAACTTCCTGACTGACAGTTGACTTGCCCAAAGCAATTGTTATTATTATGTGCCATTGAGTTGCCTTCTAGTCATAGAAACCCTATGTACAACAGTCCTGAATCTGGCCCTATCCTGAGCCAATCTCACTGAAGCTGACACATCTATACTCATTACGCCGGTTACTGTGTCAATCCATCTCATCTGGAGTCTTCCTTTCCTGCGCTGTCACTCCAACCTTCCAAGCATTATGTCCTTCTCCAAAAACCGATCCTCCTGGCCCCATGCCCAGTATGTGAGATCAAGCTTCAAAATCCTTATCTCCAAGGAGACACTTAGTTTCACCCTCTCTAGGACAGGCCTGTTTGTTTTCCTGGTGGCCCATGTTATCATCTGTTCAATACTCTTCAGCACCACAACTCAAAGGAATTGATTCTTCTGTCATCCTCACTCATTTTCCAGCTCTCTGATGCCTAGCAAGTAATTGCAAAGATCATGATCTGGATCAGGCTTAGTCTCTAAACTGACATCTTTACTTGTTAGGACTTTGGAGAGGTCCCTGACAGCAGTCTTCCCCAATGCAATACGTCTTTTGATTTACTGACTGCTGATGTCAACAGTGTTGTTGTGGAGCTGAGTAAGCTGAAATTGTTAACAACCTC